AGATGTACAACTTTTGCTATTTGCTCTTTTTTAATATTTTCTTTGTAATAAATATTGCAGGGTGCCAACTATCCTAACATATTATTAAACCCATGGAGATGCTGATGATTTGGGCTAGTCCCACTGATGATTTAATGTTAAATTATCGAACCTCTAGAGTTTAAATACAGAAACTTGTGTAGCTATCTGTATATACTGAGTAATTTTGTAAATACCATTTAGCCACACATTAATCAGCAGTAATTATTTGTACAGAATGCTTTAAAGACTATAAATCCTTTGACTTAGAGGTTTACTTTATTTATGAGTAAGTAGAATAACCTTTGCTTTCTTTTAAGAATGACTTAATACTACTTCAACACCACAGTAAGGGACATAAAATAGAAATGTACAAATAACAGCACTGATCAGGAGAGACAGCAAAGATACTTATGCCGACAGAGTGACTCAAAGTTTATTTGAAGGATGCCTAAATAACAGGCAGCAACTGGATCACAGGGACAGTATGCAGTGAAGCAGTGATTCCATAATTGGCCCTAAGTATCACTCAACAGTGGTCTGGCATACTAGACTTCAGTAACCCTTAAATAATAGCATTCATAATTTCAGAAGTAAAATTTGAGAGTGTAACAACATGCAATTTTTATAAATCTGGATATCACAGACCCTCACTATTCACAAAGCAGAGGTAAAAATACTTCTATGCGATCTCTATTCCAAACAAAACAATCAGACATGAAAAGAACCCTCATCTACTCTCAGTGGGACTGTCATCTGTTCAGTCTCTATGGGAAACAGTACAGAGACTTCTCAGACAATTAAGACTAGAGCTGCCATGTGACCCAGAGATTCCACTTCTTGGCATCCACTCCAAGAAACATTGATTTAAAAAAAAAATGCACTTCTTGCTCTCTACACCACTACTTAAAATAGCCAAGATCTGGAAATAACCCATGTATCTGACAACAAATGAGTAAAGAAATTATTGTATTCAATAATTATTGTATTCTATATGTTTACATAAAATATATGTATACATATGTATTTCACATATGTATGCCATTTCATTTTTTTCATTTCATCATCCTGTTAATCGTCGATTGCCTCGAGCAGGCCCCAGTAACGTCTCTTTCATCCTAGCCCTGAGATTATATTCACGGCTCTTTAGGAGAATGAGACCCATCATTGTTACTGGTATTTGGCATATTTGGTACGCCACGGGGAGTTTGCCAGACTCTGCCCTGTGGGCAGGCTACATTCGATAGCCTGCAAGTTTGTCCAAAGCTATATACATACATATATATATATATATGTATATATATACCTATGGAGTATGACTCAGATTTAAGAAAAGATGAAATCTTGCTGTTTTCTGCAACTTGGATGGATCTGGAGTGTATTGTGCTGAGCAACATGAGGATAAGGACAAATATCTAACGGTCTCACTCATAGTCGGAGGACATATAAAGAAACAAAGTATCATTGTATCACTGTCACTGTCATCCCACTGTTTACCGATTTACTCAAGTGGGCGCCAGTAACGTCGACATCCATCCCAGCCCTGAGATTTTAGCATCCTCTCCTTACTTGTCTTTCCCAACGCTGCCGTATTGGAGACTCTTCCAGGGTCAGGAGAATGAGACCATTATTGCTACTGTTTTTGGCATATCGAATATGACACGGGCAGCTTGCCAGGCTCTGTTGTGTAGGCAGGATATTCTCAGTAGCTTGCTGGGCTCTCCAAGTGTATATATATATGTATACATATATATATATATATATATATATATCCCTCTATGATTTGTTGCCTACTGTCTGAACTTCATCAAATATGGCGTGGTGATTATGGAAAATGGGTAGGATGTGTCTTATTATGTGTCATGCAGTCCAGGAATATGTTCACTCATATGTGAGGCTTGGCCCAAGTGTATGGAAAGTGGCCTGGAGCATGGCGGAGGTTGAGTAGTGGAGGTCAGCTGCTGGAGCTGGGTCCCTTGGGGCAGGGAAGTGCTTTTACTCGGGCGCCCCAGAGGGGGGCGGGTGAGAGTACCCCCACCTCAAGGGACCCAGCCCCGTCAGCCGACCTCTACTACCCAACCTCTGCCATGCTCGAGGCTGCTTTCCACACGCTCAGGAGCCTCACGCATGAGTGAAGTCCCACAGAATCCAGGTAATAAAGAAATAAACTAAGGGAATAAATTATGTCAATGATAACAGACTCTGAGAGTCTGCCTACAGAAATGAATTTACTAAGTGTGGGGTACAGGGATAAGAGGGAACCTACTAACACTAGTGATGGATGCTGATACCCCAGGAGGTTGTGTGTGGTGTAGAGACATTTTATTCATGAAACATTAATAATTAATACTATTATTCATATGGTAACTAATCACTGTCCTCCCGTTGTTCATCGATTTGCTTGAGCGGGCCCAGTAATGTCTCCATCGTGAGGCTTGTTACTTTATTTGGCCTACTGAATATGTGACAGGTAGCTTGCCAGGTTCTGCCATGTGGGCAAGATACTCTCGGTAGCTTGCTGGGCTCTCTGAGAGAGGCAGAGGAAACGAACCCAGCTCAGCTGGGCAGCTGTGCACAAGGCAAACGCCCTACAGCTGTGCTATCATTCCAGCCCATGGTAACTAATGAAAATATATAATAATAATAATAAGATATGGTTATAGAGAAAAATAATTCAAGAAAGTGTTAAACATTTTGCAGAAACAAGGTGCCACACACTTTAAGAAGGATTCTTAGTTGTGGATTAGGAATCCACAGCAAAGGGGAAGTCATTTCTGTATTTTGATGAGAATGTTACAATAAAGAAGGTAGAGACACCTTCTAGAAATAAAAAGTTCTGCCATTTACAAGATTAGAAGATAATCATCACAAAGAACATTGGCAAATGAAATTTAAATGAAACTATAATATAAAAATTATAATTAAAATTAAAAATTCATTTCCTCAGTTGCTTTAGACACATTTCAAGTGCTCCTTAGATCCAAGTGGTCTGCTGCTCCGCAACTAGGCAGTGGACCAAAAAACAGAAATTTCTAGCATTGGATAGCTCTAGAACACACTAGGCTACAGTGTGACAGAAACTAATCTAGAGGTGTCAAGTAAGCAACCTTACAAGATGGATTCGAAGACAGAAGTGATACTGGCACAAAAGGCCTGTATCATTCAGCTTCCAAAGAGAAGAGCGATCTTGGTCCACAGCCTGGTTTTCAATAAACAGATTACAGTGCCTTTTATGTCCTCATGCCCTCTGGGACCTCAAAAACTAAATGTGTGTTTTCCATAAAATATTAAATCAAGAGAAATTAAGACAGCACACTTAATGTGAAATAAAGTTCATATACTCCTGTTTAAACACAGATTAGAATTTCTGTCAGAACAATGCCAGTGAAAAGTTGACATTCTAATTAATACAATTTACATTATAAAGCACTGAATATCGTTATCTTGCTATTATGAAATGCCCTCTTTAAAAAAAAAATCAAGGTTCTACTCAACAGGGAATCAAGTACTGAGGGCAGTATGTAAAATCCATGTACAAGAAAGGTGGTTAGGTCACTGACACTTTTACACTCCATCAACCCAGGTCTCTAAAAAAGGGAAACTATACACTCATCCTTTACCACAATGTTATCATTCTTTATAATATAAAATTCTATTTACAGGCAGCAAAAGATTTTAGGCTGTTGTTCTTGGTGTATTAAAACCTCTCCCTTCCCCTTCCTTCCTCCCTCCCTCTCTTCCTTCCTTTCCTCCCTCCCTCCCTTCTTCCCTTCCTCCTTCCCTCCCTCCCTCCCTCCCTCCCTCCCTTCCTTCCTTCCTTCCTTCCCTACCTCCCTCCCTCTTTTCCTCCTTCTGTCCCTCCCTCAGTCCCTCCCTCCCTCCTTCTTTACCTTCTCTTAACTCTCCATCATAGGAAACATTTCTGAACACCCTGCAAGCTCACTCACAAGTAAGGCTCCCACACCATGTTTACTCAATCCAAATTCTGAATGTGTAAAAGGGGCAGAAAACCAACCCCACAGTTGGGTGCTCAAGGATTCATGTTCACTGCCTTTGTCAATTTTATGCTATCAGTGAAAGGAATAAAGATGAGATCCTTAAAGCCTGAATTTTTCCTTCCCTACGACAACGTGCTTTTCCTTCATGCTTTATCACACTCCGCTACTTGGTCTCCACCCCTTCATAATTGATATCAGCCATTTGAAGCATTTAGGAAAAACCTCATGAGGTTCATCAAATGTCCCCCAGTTATAATTCTTGCTTCTCGCGTGTTCAGAAGCATATTCAGCCCATGTTTTCTACTTCCCTCCATGGTTCTCCCTGTGCTCTGGGACAAGTGTAATGACAGTTGTATTAATTATGTGCTGAAAAACTCACAGCAAAAATGATGGAGCTCGTCATTTTAAATATTTTATTAAAATAACCCAGTGTAAAACAGATAAAGTAGACCCTCTTGATAATGAGAAGTTCATTAATTTTACAAGAATTCTAGAAAGCAGAGAATGGTCATCAAAATGATCTCTTTTACTTATTTATTCTTTGAGGAGAGAAGCTTTCAGGGTTGCTTTAAAGAGCAAGGGCATTGCAAAATTTCCTACGATATTCTTAAAATATGACTTTGAGGGAAAATTTTGAAAGAAAAAAACAGGTTGAAAATATGGAAGATTCAAATTTCATAGTATTACCTGTAAAATCTGAGATGTTAGCTTCTTAATCTACTTTATTAAATCCATCCCAGGGCCTAGCATGTAGCTCATGTGATAAGTTCAAAACTTTTGAGTCTCTGGGTTTAATCCCTGTACCAGGGTAGACACTGATGGCCCTCAGTATCACAGTCCTGGTGCAATCCCACAGCAATAAATTAAAACAAGATTTCATTATCACATAACATTTTCTGATCAAAAAAATTGTATTCTCCTAAACAACCGAGCAGACTACTGGAATCCTTCCATTCTTAATAGCGAAAACAGAGTCTTGCCTACCAGGTGAGTCTCCAGATAGAGTTTAAGGCTATCCGTCTCTGCTTTGGGGGGAGTCCAGTTCTCAGTTGTTTCCATGGCTTTGTTTAACCATTGAATAAATTCATCCAACTTGTTTACAAATCCCTGGTGACAGGAAAGAAGGGAGAAAAGAACAAGAAAAATATATTAGTTGGTTCTCTCTGAAAGTCAGTGGTAAGAATAAGAAGTCTCAACCATGGTATAAATGATATCACCGAACTCCCACCCTTGTTCCAAGCTATAGCAAAGAATTCCCAGAATCTGTACTCTATCAGAATGGGAAGGAATAGTGTCTTCCAGTTTTTCTTTCCTAAGAAAACTTTTCTGAAGAATCCAGACAGGATGGCAAAGCGTTCTCATTGTAAAGGTAATAGCAAATCATCAAAGCACTCTGAGGTCTGAGAAGAATTCCCTCACCATAATCGGGTCAGTGTTAGGAACAGAGCTTGGCGCCAGGGTTTATGACATTGCAGGGACTCAATGTTCTTTACTCAAAAGCTGAACCCTAGGCATTTGAGTTGCCGTAACTGAACTAGAAATCCAGTTATAAATCGGCAGTGTGTTTAAAGGAACTTAGATAAGTTCTGACAAACAACACGTCTGTGGGTGAGTCGGGGTTCAGAGAAGCAAGGAAGGGTCAGGAGGTGGGACCAAGGACCAGAAGCAAATACCTGACTCCAGTGTGTCTCTACCACAAAGATAACGTTCTTGACTCAGAAACACAATTTAAGATAAAGGTAAAGGTAAAGGCCCTCCCGTTGATCGTCGATTTGCTCGAGCGGGCCCAGTAACGTCTCCATTGGAGACTTTGTTGTTACTGTGTCTGGCATATCGAATACTTTTTCAACTAGTGGGTATAAAATTTTTTCGACCACCTAAAAGAACACATCTGTAGAAATGGAAAATATCTGAAAGCAAGGAAAGTCCATTTATGAATCTGAGAAGGAAGCAGGAAGGGGGAGGGGGGCCTGCTTTTCATCACCAGGTAAGCAGCACCACCTGGTGGCCTAAAGGAGTAATGGCAAGCATCCAGACGAATTCCTCAAGACAGCAAAAGCTAGTTAGTTCCCATGTGAAATTTACTCGTTCTTCAGCACTGCATTTTGATTATTTTTAATAAATATTTTTAATGCTCCAATGAGTCTCTCATGAGGACTGTGTAAAACATATAAATTTATTTGAAGTTTCTACTAGGTAATAAGTTTAAGAGTCATAATCCTTTAAATCAAAGTACTTGGTTGGGTTACGAACAAAATTTTATAACTAAATGGGAACAAGGAGGGTGATAAAGAGAAAAGGAGAGAAACTCAGAAATACTTTCCAATCTACCAAAAGGAGAAGAGGCATGGCCGACATTCTTGGGAGGGGTATTTGTGCGAGCTGTCTCTCACCCCACAGAGCCGTGACTCACTTTCCCACACTCATTCCTAAATGTTACCCAAAGCTTTCCCCATAGGAGACAGTGCCAAGTGTCAAGAGTGTGATGACACCTGGCCACCACACCACAGCTCTTCTTCAGTGGCTTATGAAATGCACCCTATTTGGGTAGTTTTGGTAAAGTCATTAAGAAGTGTGGTGTTTGGGCAGGGGTCAGGCTGAAGCGGGCATCTGAAAGGAGAGAAGCGGCCTGTGAGTGTCCTGTGACTTGGACATGCCCTGCACAACTGCAATGAGCTGACCAACCCTCTGGGCTTCCTGAACTGTGAGCAGGACTAGGACTGGTCCAGATGTTCAATCTGATTTGATTCTAACCACAGACACTTAAAGAAATGCATGGCTAGAAATAAGTGTGACCAGAAATAAGGGCATGGACTGTTTGAATTCAAGTCCTAATTCTTGATATCTCCTAAGTATAAATTTTTCAAAAAACCAGCCAATTAAGAGAACTTTCACTGATCAAAGGCATTTATAGAAGTAGCATCTATATACCCTGACCAGAAAAAGTCTAAGTTGGTGAAAATCGTGAGATGAACATTATTTATAGTATTAAATAGTATTTACTATTAACTTTGTACTCAAGCTGCTATATCTGTCTGTCCGCCCCTCTCGGAGAGTCCGGCAAGCTACCGAGAGTATCTTGCCCACACAGCAGAGCCTGGCAAGCCACCCGTGATGTATTCGATATGCCAAACACAGTAACAACAAAATCTCCAATGGAGATGTTACTGGGCCCGCTCGAGCAAATCGATGAACAACGGGAGGGCCTTTACCTTACCTTTTATCTTTGTGTGTATATACAAAACACACACACACTATATATGTGTATATATATATATATATATGCATCTATATATTGGTTTGGGGACAAAAGTTAAGTCATGAATTAAATTATTTTGAAAGCAAATGGTTAAATTCAAGAATGCACTGAAGCACTGTCCTCCCATTGTTCATCGATTTGCTTGAGCGGGCACCATAATGTCTCTGTTGTGAGACTTGTTTTTACTGTTTTTGGCATATCAAATATGCCACAGAGACTTGCCAGACTCTGCCATGCGGGTGAGATACTCTCAGTGGCTTGCCGGGCTCTCCGAGAGGGAGGGAGGAATCGAACCCGGGTCGACTGTGTACAAGGCAAAAGCCCTAAACTCTGTGCTAGCGCTCCAGCCTAATCCAAGAAAACAAATTCTAAAATATTTTTGAAATGTTACCGGTTATAGACTACTTATTGTCATCTTTAAAACAAACCCAAGTAAATGATACAATGTAAGTGTGTGTGAGAGAGAGAATGAGAGGCTGCATGAGTCTCATCATAAAAGGTGAAATCTAAGACAGAGTTAAAACTTGTATCTGATTTCCTAATAAAGCCTCTGATTGCAGTTAGCTATAACCCATTAGATGCATATTAGGTCAAACCCTTAGATCCTGGTGAAACCTTCTGGATGATCTCTCTAGGGGGCCAGACAAATTGCAAAACCAAGACTGTCAATAGAGATTAAATGAAATTGGTCCCAGGCTTCTGGCCAGGGGTCCTCTGAATTATATCCCATCTCCACCAGTTTTTAGTTGCTATGGATTTTCTCCTCTTGCCAGCGCTAAAAATGTTTAATCAATCACAACAGAAACACGAGACATTCCTGTGTTTCTAAGTTGTAATTAAAGTTAAGCACTGCTCACTTTTAGGGAGCTCTTAGTGTCCCACCTCCCCATTACCACTACGTGTAGTCAATAGCATATAAGAATACAAACAGAAATCATGAATGCAAATGAAACGAAGCTACTGGGGTTGCAAAGACAGTCAGAATGCAAGACCTTTTCACTGCATGTGGCTGCAATCTTGGTTTGATGCCTGGAACCCCACATGGTCCCCCAGCCTGCCAGGAGTGATCTCTGGGTACAGATTCAGGTGTAAGCCCTGAGTACCACCAGGTCTGACCCATAATAAAAAATAAAAAGAGAAACTAGAGTCCACCCAACTCTTGAAACTTTTAGTGCCTATTTCCTCCTCTCCCAGACCCTTTATCTGGAGACTGTTCACTACTAGTATTCTGAGTAGTGAACACTGTACCTTGTATACTGATAGGCTTCTAGAAGACCAAATAAACTCCAATGAACTTCAAAGAGGACAATGAAACTCAGATGCCTTTCCCCATACTTTCCAATGCTGGCAATAAAAGGCACAAGAATGTACATTCCACCCTTTGCAGCAGGTAGAATTACAAATCTTTGGAAGGTCGAGTTTAGCCTTCACTGTCCATTGCCGTTGTGTCTGTGTTCCCTGCCATGCCATTTTCTCCACCTGTTTTCCTCCTACCATGGCTGCTCGTTCATTCTTCCATTACCTTTCCTGGCCTCCATGCTGGACACTCTAGGCACATGCTGACACAGTGACCTCTTTGCCTTCTGATCCAGGCATGGAGTGGCTGAAAATGTTTGGAGTAAAGCGGGATTCAGCCTCCAAAAAAAAAAAAAATCCTGGTCCTCAAACTTAGAAGGAAAGCAACACATCCCACTCTCAAGTCATTTTTGTATTTTGAAAAGTTCCTTGCTGAAGGTATTTAGAAAATTTTACTTTTAAACGTTCTAGAACATCAACCTCACAAACTGAGAAACAGAATGAAAGCCCATGCAAATATGCACTTACAGATTTGTGAAAAAAACATCTGCTGGAGCCCCCAGGTAGGTTACATATATTTGAAAACTATATTTGCCGGGAAAACATACAGTCCAATATTGCAAATAGCTACACTCTCATGTGGGTTAAGGTGACACTAGGCTGAGGAGATGGAGACGGAGAACAGGCTTTGCCTGAGGAAGCACTGCATAGTCCCCTGAGCACTGCCCGGAGGACGGAGGAAACCCCGGCACAACTGGATGTGGCCCCACTCTCAAAATATATATGCATCGTTTCCTTTATTTTCATACCTGTTTTCCTCCTATGCAAGCAAGCCCTGTTCTGATTAAGTAGAAACTCTCAGGATGGGGGCACAGGATGACAATTGCCCTTTGGCAAGTCCTCAGGGCACCCTGGATAAAAGGCGCCTTTTCAGTGAGTGCTACGTAAGGGGGTGGAAAACAATGACAAAGAGGAGACCATACCCCAGCTGGCAGGCTCAGTGCAGTGGAACGCCTGGGGATAACTTTTTATAGAACTAGCTAATTTTCGGACCAAATTGGGACTGAAACTTATTCCTCTGGAAAAGAGGAAAGACTGTCACTAGGACTCAGAGAAGTGGTGCTGAGTCATTTTACAAAGAGAAACATTGAGGGTCGGAGAAGGTGAAAGAGTTGGGTTTGAACTCTTGGCTCATTCCAAAGTCGGTTTCTCTCACAGCATGACTCTGCCTCTGAAAAACAGTGCTCCAAGGGACATGGGAGTGGCTCCTGGCAAAGAGGCAATATTTCTTCCCAGACCCTCAGTCTTGGCACCAAGGTCAAAACTCTTCTATGCTCTCAGTCCTTCCACCTTTGCCACATTCTGCAAATCTTTTTGAAAAGGGCTCTGTGAAGAGGCTGGATACTTAAAAAGAAATCTATAAGTGTTTTGTTTTGTTTTCTTTTCTTCTTGTTTTTTTCTTAGCAAACAGAAACCACTGTTAAGTGTGCTGAAAAATAATACAGGGTAAAAGGCTCCTGCCTTTCGCCTGGAGCCAACCCAGAGTCGTAGT